AGGATAGTTGAAAATCCTCAGAGGAAGATACTGCCAGATCATGCATATAATGTGAGATAGATAAAAGTATTGGGGGAGGTCCACATACCAGCCCACAAAACACCCTTCAGCAGGCAATTCAACCGGGCCACTAAGAAAATAGAAATGTGACTTGCAGAAGCCTCTTTGTCTCCAAATAGAAACTAAAAGAAGCAACATGGATTAATTTTTCCCAGGAAATTGAAGGATCCCAATGAATATATAATCATTGTCTAGCACATATAAAGGTACTAGTGTAGGCAACATAACACTTCAAGGTTCTCACTGAAAATAATAAACAATCATGATCAGATCAGGTCATAGAGGTGAGAAATAACAGTCAGATTATCCCCTTCCCTGGCTGCCAGTGTCTTAGGTAAGAGAGACCCTGTCTGGTATAGGAGGATGTAGGTAGAATAATAGAGCATCCTGTACACATGCAGTGCAAACAACTCAGACTGGTGACGTCCGCAGTCCAGCAGCAACAAAGAAAAAACCTTAAGGAAAATATGGTACATAAGACTGAGGGTTCAAATATATGTCAAGAAAGAGCATGTAATACCACCTTAATGTCCCAGTTAGGAAACTGAAATGGTTGTTTCAGACGAAGGACCCAAAATGATTTGGGAAGGCAGAAGAGCACTAGAGATTCAAATAACTTTCATCCCCTTGAGTAACTAAAAGTATACAACAAGAGTCAGGTCAAAAAATGAGTTACAGTTGGCATTTCTGGAGGAAGTGGGTTCAACCTCCTCACAACACACCATTGTCTATGTGTGTGCCATTTCCATTGATAAATGTCCATCATGGGACTATGCAGAGACTGAGGCAGATATATGGCAACCTTAGAAGTTAAACCCCAATGCTGTGCAAAGGACCACATAATTTCCATGCATAAAGCTTAAGATTCAGAATGGCTGGGTGTACGATGTTAGATCATGGCTGCCTCAACAGAGATGACCAAAAAGGAAGTGGAAGAGGTGGGCACTCCTGAAGGTACCACAGAAGCAGAAACCAGGGTTGAGCTGGCCAATCCAGTGCTACCAACAGAACATGACAAAGGGTTGAACAAATCATAACTAATACTCTGGGTAACAAACGAATTGGTGGAAAGTCACAGAGGTGCAATCCCAACCAGTCCTGACTGAATGCATGTGTTGCCAATGCTTGAGGGTGAGGTACCAGAGATCAAAATAACAGTAATTGAGTGTTCCAATGAGTGGCAAACTCATTGATTATCAGTGTCCCAAACAGAGAGCAAATCCAAAAGAAAACCTCACGATGCAGCATCTATTCTCACAAGAGAATCCGGTTAGGTCAAGACAATTGATCTGCCATCAAATTCATTACCCCTAGACATGGCAAGCTAGTAGGACGATATCATGGGAGTGAGCACAATAAAGAAGATCTAAGGTTTGAAAACAAAGAGGCATGAACCGAGTACCCCCTTAATGGGAAATGTAAGACACCACCATAGAATTGTCAGAGTGAAGCACGAAAATTTTTCCCCCAAAAAGCCCAGACCTTGAGACATTGCCCTTTGAACAGAAAGAAATTCTAAAACACTGATGTGTAGGAAAGCCTCATCATCCATCCATAAGCCCTGAATTTCCTGACCATTGAGATAAGCACCCCATCCCTTAAGCAAAGCATCCGTGAAGAGATGGATCTCTGAACAAGGTGCCGGTAGAAGAATACCTATTACAGTACTGTTCTGATCTATGGGTATCAATGGACCGAGGGGATGATGTCAGGTTGCAGGATACTTCAATAGGGGTGGAACTATAACCTCCTGTAGGAGCCAAGAAAATTCAGGAAGCTAATGACGACAATGATGAATGTAAACATGTGATATCAATCCTTGATTCCAAAGACTCTGGAATGCCCACAAAAATCAAGGATTGGAGAAAGTAACTTGCAGAGGGTATTAGCTGGTAAAAAGATACCCTCTAACAACTCATCTCTATCCAATAAATCCCAACAATATACCAACCAAGACACTAGGAAAAGTGCAGAAGCTGACAATCAAACCAAGGAGAATGCTAACAATGGTACCAACTCTTCATCAAAGTGATGTGGTGATCGCTGAGATGATTCCTAAAAACGATCTTAGCACCATAGTTAGTATCGGACGGATCCTAGAAAATTGTGTTCTATTCAAGTTGACCACAAACACCATTCTGGAACCTCATATTTCCAGGAGCAAATCTATTCTCTGAGTGTCTAAATATGCTTCCACCTAATGGTGGTAGGAGAAAGCCTATTGTTCTGACAAACGTGGAAGACAAGGCAGAACTGTCCCTTCATGAAACTGAGCAGTAAACCTCCCTGCATAAACTGCATTAGGGGATGTAGGGAAAACTAAGTACTCGCCCTCAGACATTTCCACCATCAAGAAAGAAGCATCAAAAGCAACTGAGAAAAGACCCAAAATATCATGCACTTCATGTACCAATGGAAAAAAAGGAGCAGGATGTGGTTGATCCAAATTGGCCTCATGAGAAGCTGACAGAGTAAAGGAAGACACTGGAAAAAGCAAATCTAAATTCCTCCAGAATGTGCAGGATCACCCGCTAGTGTAGCCTCAGAGCCCCCCAGAGCAACACCACTGGACCGAATGTACATCTCCATCTCACTATGGATAAGGTCAGCAACCCACCAACCCACCCCACACACACACAATTCATGAGCAACACTAAATAACAGAAGAAGGATAGGAGAGACCTGATTTGCCCCCATGCCTGATACATTAATCCAGGAATGCATGCCAAAAATTGATTTTTTGTTTCTTAGTTTTATAAAAATTAAATAGGTAACACAAAGAACACTCAAATTATCTCCAATGGGCGTACTACAGAGAAACCCATTAGTGAATGCTTTGTTGAGAAAAAGTGAAAATGTGAAAATTTTATCTGAAGGAGGTGCTTATATACAGTACCAAGATAGAAGGTGCATTGACATAGGTGGAGAGTGTCACAAGACACATATCGCCAAGAGCAATTAAGTGGAGAATGAAAGACTGGAGTATGAGAGAAAAAAAACAGACCATTGCTTAGATGGGCACAGGTAAAGAAACCCTAGCAGTTGAGTAACAGCTGTAGTGTGAGAGGAGGTAAGTATGTTTTAGAATTACCATTATAAAGAATGGTAAATTGCTAGCTGGATATAAGATATTCGATTTCATATCTGTGATTCTGGATCTTCAAATTCAGTGCACTTAAAAGGTTGTTACCTGATCTAAGTTATATTTCCATGTGTTTGTGGATGAAGAGAGAAAAATGTTGTTTTTTCCATACAAGTGACCTTGCAGTCACCACACTTAATAATAGACAAACATAAGGAAGCTAGATGGGTAGACAATCCTATACTTTGAATCCTATATTTCTTACTTAAAGTTTGCTACAGGTTAGTTTCACTTGGAGGCCAAAGTGTACAAAAAACATATCAACAGATATGTATTTCCTTGATTAATAGTAAGAATGTCTAACTCACAAACTAACTTACAGTATTCCCTTGCTAGTCATTTTAGTAAGTGAATAGACACAATAAACCTCAATCTTATCCTGAACAATTTTTCTGACACAGAACTCATAAACTCACCAAATGCTCATTGAATTTTTGCATTAACTAATTACTTATATTTATAAATAATGTACCCTTATCTCTCAATTATTACATCATCATAATTGGCAGCTCTCTTTAGCAAAGAACTATATAACTTATATATGAAAATATAATTTAAAACAGTATGACACTTTGTTGTCCTAGATAAGTTGAACAGACCTGAAAGACTTGAGTTAGTAGACATGCTGCTCGATTTATCTTATATCCAACAGGAGTAAAACTGTAAAATTGTTTGAACTGTAATGTGAAAGTTTTCGTTTTATAGAACATTATTGGAAGACTGAAAATCTTGAGTAATCAGTACATGTCGTAAAGGTAAATATTCTACTCTTCAATTCCCAGGTTTTGTATCACTGTAATACTGGATTGTCTATGTATACTGGTCAGTACATATGTGGTGGAAAACTCATGAAACCAAAACTAGATTTGTTTATTGTGCACTCAAGTTCAGAATGTTTGAAAATAATAGATATCTTATAGAAGAAGCTGAATACCTTTAGAGTTATAAGGATAGATCTCATTAATTTGGATACAGATAAGAAACTTTAAGCAAACTGTATGGGTTAAATATTAAACACTTTGACTTATAGGACAGTTTAGTAGTAGAGGAAATATGTATGTACACAATGAGCTCTATTTAACCAAGCTTGGAAATAGTTTTATTGGTGAAGCTCTAAGTTACTCCATTAGAAATACTGTATTAACTCATTCAAAGATTTTATAGTGTGCAAGGTTACAGTATTTACTGACAGAAAATTAAAAGTAATCACACTTGATGTTAAACTCGTGCTAAAAGTCTTTATTAGTTTCAGAGGCTTTAGTGCAGTGAGAAGATTAGAAATAATTGGTATTACTAAGAATTCCAAAGTTTAAAATGATAGAGATGTTCCTTTCAACAGTTTCAAGATAATCTGTAGGGACTGAAAAATGTACAACAGAAGATGGGTATTTCATTTGTGAAAAATGAGGCTTATTAGATTTGATAAAGTATTGAGGTAAAGGTTCTTGAACAAAAAGTGACAAAAATTATCTACAAGTCTTCTTATTAGGTCACTGACAGGAATATAAGCAGAATACTTTTACTGCCAACAAAATCAACTTGATATTTTTGGAAAAGTGCCTGGATAAATTATTCTTCTTATGATGCACAAGAATTTACCTGACACTGTTTTAAACCTTGTTTTCAATCAATTTTAGCAATGTGCTAAAGTATTTTGGCTCATTTTCATATGTTTAAGTTTATTTGTAGTTAAGTAAATTTTTCATTTAGTATGTCAAACATAAGCATCTCTTTCATAATACTCATTATAATTCACTATAATTTTATATCATGTTTTAAATTCATAATGTTTACTTACAACTTCTTTCAGATATGCGAGTTGTGTGTTTCGATGTTCCACTGGTATGAAACAAACTTCCTGGTGTAGTTCCAGCCTCTTCGAGTAATGACAGAGCTAAGGAAGTTATCAGCAGTATTTAAGAAAAGTACAAATTAAATGTATATATATAAAAAGAAAGTTACATAAATATGTATACATTCAACATTGCATATATATTGTAATTTCCAAAGAATTTAATCCTATGTTTATGGGTGACGGTCAAAGTATCCATGTCAGAATCTTTTACAGAGATCTTTGCATCAAAAGAAAATTCATTATTCAAATTCTTATATTTTCTAAGTTTTAATTTCTTCATTTCAAAAGGAAATATTCAAATAAATTCTCTATATCACAATACGTCTTCATTTCAAATTGCCCATTATAGATTTTCTTACTACCTCTATATGAACTTTGTAACTTTCTATCAATCAATATTTCTCTCTGAAATTTTAAATTATATTATTTATAACTAGTAGAAAGCCAAAATTTTAATCTATAAAATGATGTATCATATTACTCTGTTTTCTGTACAGAGAATTGTCTATTTCCACTCTGTTTTGAAATTCTTTCTCAAGGTATTCACATCAACAAGCTAAGCTGAATTTTAAATGGCTCTTACCACATAGTTAGAAAGCTAGAAAAATTATGATAGTTATAGGACATTGTTTGTTTTGTACATGATATTATTCATTGTTAATAGATACATTACTTATTTGAATAAGAATTATTTAGTGTAGTAGTACCATTAGTTTGTTTGTTTTGAATTTCGTGCAAAGCTACACGAGGACTATCTGCGCTAGTCCCCACCCCCCACCCCCCAGAAAGTTGTGGATTTTAGATGTGTTAATGTCAGTCACAACATTCACTGGAACACAAATTCAGGAAATCAAAATGTTTGGTGTAACATTTTTATAGATCAATCAACACAATGAAGAAATTTATGCAAATTATAAATAACAATACAACAAAATGTAAGAACAGATTTTACATCTTATTTTCAACATTAACGGATAATGATATGCAATTACAAATTAGAAACATAATACAATGTAAGAAAATCAGTAAATTTACACTTTAACACTTCAGTAGCCAGAGTAGGTGATGGGTGCTGCCACCCAATTGCTTTCCCTCTCATCAGCAGTTCAAATTTAGTGACAATGTAAGACAGCTTTAGCTTATAATGCTAAAATTGAGTTTCGATACCTGTGGTAGGTGTACCTTAAAAACAAACCGACATAATGGCAATAATTTAATTACTTGGATAGGTGGGATTATCAAAGACAGTAAGAAACACAAACGTTTCATTCATTCATAATTTTCATGGATCATGATGCTAATCGATTAAGCTTAACTAAGTTGAATCAATTGAAAATAATTAAAAATCATAATGGCAATATTTTGATTACTGGATAGTTAGATAAATAAACACTAATTTTTAATTAGCTGATTATTTTCGTAACAATAAATTTAATCATAATTTTGATTAATGGAATTATTTCATCAGACACTAATTAATTTAAGCACTGTTCATAGGTAATCAATTTTAAAAATTAATGAATTTAATCATCCAACTCTAGTGGCAAGTAAAATTAAAAAAAAAATGTGTGTGTGTGTGTGTGTGCATATATATATACACACACACACACACACATGTAGTTAATATCACTGAAAGAAAAATACTTTCTTTTAGCTACCTTCTATTTTCATCATGCACTGTTCTTTCCACCTAAGTTCCATTTAAATACCTAATTTGTACTTTATCAGTATATTTGTAGCTTCTGATGAAGACTCGTGGCCAAAACTTTGTGGTTTGTTTAAAAAATAAAAATTAAAACAGTTTCTATACTGCAGATCATTAAATTTCTAAATATCTGTAACTTATGTTAACCTGTATCTACTTATAATCTCATTAACCACTGTTATGTTTACTACTTTTCTGATTAATATTCAGTGTCACAAAGTAATGTATTTTCATCGACAAAAATTCAGTGGTTTTAGCTGTCTTGTGAAAACTTGAATGGAATAACCCACTGAATGCTATTAATCATAATTTTGGTGTGTGTCACAGGTTTTTACTACAATGCTTATATGTGATATACTTTTATGTACAACAGATTATGATTAAAAAAGTTTATTTATTCTAAGTTATTTTACCTAAATATATGTATCATATTAAACAAAAAGTAGTTTAAAAATGTCTATAAAAAGCTGAAATGTTATCAGTTAATAAGACCAATGATTGATCAATTGGCAAATTACACTAATCACCCAGCTCTAATTGTATTACAATTCCCCATAACTTGAAAATTTTGTTTTGCAACACAATAACAAGCCCTACTCCCAATTTAGTACTTGATTTTAATTATACATACAAAAGTAAATATGATGAAACTGGGAACATACAATATAAATAACATGAATATACAAGATGTCATTAGTAAAAGTCTATATCAAGATTTGATTTTACTGAAGACTGTTCAGTGTGAAGAACAGAAGTGAATAATTCAAAACATATTTAAATAGTTAAAAAATAGTTCCTTTGATCAAGAGTTAATATAATTTAAGAAACATTTATTATATATGATGAAAAAGTATCTTGGATCAAGCCCTATAGTTATTTTTCTATATAAATAACTGTAATTGTACAGTTCATAATTATTTGATAGTCTAAGTTACAAAAAACAAACTAAAACAAATCAACATAATTTATATTTTTTTTACATAAAGAAACAATCTTGGCACAAGAAAAATGTGCACACCATTGATACTTTACCTTCAAAACTCACTTTATTACGTCTTGGATTATTGCAACTTCCAATATTAAAAGCGATACTCACATTTCTGCAAATTCCCAGCTCCTGTACTATTCCTGCTGAACCGACTAGTTGCAGTTTCTCGAACATTTGGTGAAGCAACATTTAGCACTGAAAATGCAAGTGACTCACTGCAAAAACATAAATATAAAACTTTAAAGAATCATAGCTGAATAAGTAATTGTATAATAATTCTTCAGATATGGAACTCAAGTATAATGTACACCAGATCAATTACTTCACAGTACAGTAAACCATACAGTAGGCCCAACTTGCTAAAACCTGTCTGCTGCAGAACAAGAGGTGTCTCTAGTGACTGCTATGTTATATATCTTTCCCCTTGTGAGTAGCAGTCATTTTGTTCATAAAGAAATTGTTTATGGTCTACAGAAATATTGTCATCCAGTCATTTGAACACCTACTCTTGTTATGTTTTGTTTTATCAGTTATAATTGGCAGGAAGTTTGAATTGTTAATCCTGCCAAACAACAGTTTAAATATAATACTTTACATAATTTTTTGTTCCATGTTAAATATCTGACAATTAAAACACCACTTTATTCTATGAAATGTAACATTTTTCTTATTGGTCTTCTTTTTACTGCAGTGGGTTGAGTGAATAAGGTAAAATGATCTTACTGGAAAGGTGTCTCTGTATATGTGCAATTCATTTTTAAGCATCACAATTTGTGAACAATGCCACACAAAACAAGTTAATCCATAATGCTTACCCATCACTCTTTAACATTCCAAACTTGTCATCATGAGTAGAAAGCAGTCCACAAATGTTAAAGCTTTAACATCCATCTCAAATACCACAAATGACTGCAAAGCTGTCTCGTACTGCTGACAACAATGCCCCATTTGATGAATCTGTCAAACTATCTGCTGATTACAGACATTCTCCGACTATGCAACAATTGCAGATGTAACTACATAATCTGAAAAGACAGTGCAGGCATTTGCAGCAGAAACTGATGAAGATACATAATACTCTCCAGGCTTTGACAACCACAAAACAGAGAATGATCATGAATGCTCACAAGCTTCTGTCTGAACCAGTATTGACATATGTTATTATGCAAATCAAGAAAATAGGAATAGTTCAAAGTGGGAGCAAAGTAACAGAATGCTAGCCCTATACTATACTACCAAGGTCCAAAGCTGCATTATTACCCTCACAATCGGTCTTCTATTCAGCTAAAATTTCCTTGTTACATTGTGTACATGGGTTCTTAGTGCAATCAGGCATTACTGAGAATATGTTTAAAGCTCTCCAAGCTAAAGACAGCACTCTTGAAACTGATGATTGTTATTACATTCTTAGGTTTCACAAAATGGCTCTCATGGCAGACTTGACCAACTCAATCAAGCAAGATAACACTGTTGGCATTGAGAATGATGGGAAACATAGGAGATCAATATCTAATACAAGTGCACTATCATTCATGGTTTGTGGTATAAGGAATAAGTAGAAACAAGCTCTGATGTACACATTAACATCAACAAAACTGCAGAGAAATTGAGTAAAAGAAGCAATGATCACTTACATTGACAAGATTATGGAAACTGGTTTGTATGTCTATGCTGTTGTATAAAATCAAGGCATCACATTCAGACAGATGTTTAAGAGAACTGGGCATGACCTGTAAAAAGCCATATTTGTGCCTTCATAACAAATGCATTTTAGTGCTTCCTGATTCATTTCACCTTACAAAAACATTTGAAACTTGTTGCAGAAGTACACATGTCATTTGGGAAGACACTGCAGTTTTTTATTTACCTTCAAAATGTTACAGGTTTTGACTTGCTCTTCTTCTACACCACAAACATGACATAATCCCTCAGCTTTTTCATAAATTAAAACGAAACTCTCAGCACAAGTGAGTCGCTCTGTAGCTGCAGGTATCAAAACTTGTGCAGAAAATAGCATAATGGCAGCTAAAGCTATTTGGACTGCTAAGTTTTGTGCAAAATATGAATCATCTATTTGACACGTTCAAGTATGTACATGCTTTGAATGCAAAAATCATGTTATCCAAAGTTTCTAACTGAAACTATTACATGGCTGCAAGGTTTCACCATTGTCAATAACAAAGGCATTAACATTACCAGAACATTACATTATATTACTGGCTAGCAGCAACAAATTACAGCTCTTCAACTTTTATGGCAAGAACTCTGTGTTACAGGGTTTAAGTTTTTGAAAACAAAGCAGATCAATCAGGATAAACTGGAGAATTTCTTTGGTGTGACTTGCATGCAGAGGTACCTCTGACCATCCATCTGCTTTGCAGTTTCAGAAGCTATTTATGCAAGTATGCTTGAACAGTACACTAAAGCCTGCAATGACACCAAACTGTAAGTAAGTTGTAGGTCAGCTAATGCTAAAATTGCCACAGTTGTGTCAAAGGTGCAGTCAACACTTCAACAATGAATTAATTTTTTTCTTCAGCAAAGACCATTAACCTGTATTTGTCTAAAGTTGCAATCAATGAGTTTTCATACAAGTTATCTGTTGGTCTTCCATTCTTGCAGAGAACAACATTCTAGAGAAAAATGGACTTTTATACATTTGCAGTTATTTGCTGAGTAAACTGTTAGAACAACATCCACAATGCAGTGTATGTGAAAAGTTGATTGAAAATGAAAATTAATCAATAGACAACACAATGATTTTCATGTCATTTAAGGCATACAAAGGGCAAATATTAACTTTCACGATCTGTGTATCCCAACTGAAGAATTATTTGTGTACATAAAGAAATGTGAGATATACTTCTCACATCACTTTCACTTAGAAATGCAACAAGCGCATTTGACAAAAAAAGAATAAAATATAAATTAATACTTGATGCTATCAGTACTTGACGAAACCCCATAATTACAGTACTAAAGAAAACAAAAACAATATGTTTCACAAATATTTCATTTACTACAACCATGGTTTTGCCAGTAAAGGCTAGTTCATTCTGTACCTGATAATGCCCTTACTGACAAAACCATGGTTTGTTTTTGTTTGCTTGAATGCTGTAATGAAATATAAAATTCAAGAAAGTGTAACTGCACCAGAGATTTGTTCACACCAAATTACTGATTTTGTTTTGGACTTGTTTGTGAGGACAATAATGTATTACATATTAAGGTACTTAAATGACAAGGATTTACTTGATATGAAAAGAAAAAACCAACTAAATTTATGTACACAAAACATTTCCATTGCTTTTACATACTTGCAAATATTTCTTTGTTTCATATTATAAGTGTAACAATCTATGGATGTATTCTATATTTGTTCAGCCTTGAAATAAGTGCTCTATCTATTAAAATCAATTCACCATATCTTGATTTTGTTTTAGATTTGAATGTGAGGATAAAAAAATTAATATGCCTTAAAATACTGCTTAAATGACAAGCAGTAGAACATGCTTAGCATGAACAGAAAAACAAGTAAAATTATACAAACAATAGCAGTTAATAACACCTTGAAATCCATTATGCACCTTTATATACTGGGTCATACAGGACAGGCTCATCACTAGAGGTGCCTCCATTATGGCAAGCCCATACTTTAGCATGTGTTGGGCCTACTGTACAGTTTACTGTATAATGTTGTAGAGAAATGTAGAACAAGTGACAAGCATTATATTTGATAAACATGGTTTACAAAAAAAAAAAAACATAAAGATTTTATTGATACAAGTTTTTGAACCTATTTTGGTACAATTATTAAATTTGAGTAAGATTACACCACTGATAGCTAAACAGCAATTGCAAAAATTAAAAACCCTTTGTACACCAATTGTTATAGCTTGTTCTCAAAAATGGGTCTAACTAGTGCCATAATGTAGAAGAATCATAATAATGTCAAACTTTTAATACATATTTACAAGAATTATCATTTTTACTTATATCAAAGTTATAATTTTTCTATACTGAAAATGTATTCACTCACAAGATTAGTTATTCCCCTTCACTGCTACCCTCTATATGTGAATTTTATTTGTTATGCATGCCGCAAGCCTTTCACACACCTCCTATCAGAATCAAATGATTCTAATGTGTCTCTCATGCAAATCATCATGTGTCACTTCTTCACCAATAGGAGAATAGTATACTCATGTGACTCCTTCTATGCACCTCTACTGAATATCAGTTCGAAATTTGGCAGACCACGGAAGTACCACAAGTAATACGGTACTTCCCTTTGCACTTCTTGTGTCTGCCTCTACTAAATAATATACCCTGAACTGTGACTAGACTTAAAAGATTCCAGCACTTCCTGTGCATGATTACCAAGAACTTTAACTGTTTAACTTCAAAAACTTTCACATGATTAAAATGTTAAACTAATATATTGTACTTGTTCAACAACTCCTATAGGAGGTGAAGCACTCCTTTGGCTTCTTAGCCCTAGCCGTATATGGTTGACAAAGCTGTCCCTTTCTTCTTTTCTTTTTTGTAACCCATAGCCTGACTGCTCTAACTGGATCATAATTTAATAACTGAATATTACTCATTTGAATATTCAAAAGACTGTCTAGAGTTTCTGCTTTCAATGAACATCTGTATTTGTTTTTTATTCCATTTTGGGCACTGAAACTCCTTTCACACTCAACACTTGTAACAGCTATACATAGAGCTATTGTACACAGCTTTGCAAACTCAGGCATCACTTCTTTAGGTGGTTGTATAACCTTCTGGCATAGACTCTGAGTAGATAAATGTTTCAATGAGCCTAAAAATCATACCTTTTAACATGAGCCACTCTTGCTTGAGCTTTTCTTAGTCTAAGAGTTTGCTGACTTGTTTTTGTTCTTTTCTTTATTCATCCTCCCCCTGGAGACTACCATGAACAACATTTACTGTTTGGTCAGTTCCATATAACAGTGCAAGAGTCTCAAGTGCTTCTTCACTTTTACCGCCACTGGTTCCAGCAAGAGGCTAGTCTTTAAAAATCTCAGTTTTATTTTTGAATCTGTGTTTTATATTCTTTTTTTAGACTTGATATATATACATACTTCTTTTTCAGGTCTGAAAATTCATTTTCAATGTTTTCAGAATACCTTTTAAGTTTTCTCCCTTCATAACAACACTAGTTTTTCCTTCTTCTCTAAGTTCTATGCAGTCT